CATCTCATCCTAAAAATCTTAATGTCAATTTTTGTAACTTACAAGAAMGCAAAATGTTAAAATTTCAGCAGACATATGTGTTCATTTTGGATATATCTGTTTGGACTATATGTGAGAGTTCACATTCCTATGACATTTCTATAACTGTTTGATAAGATATACTCTGCTGTTGTCCTGTTGAGATGATCTGTTGGTATCATGCACTTAGTAATACATTCTCTCRACTCTGCCAAAGAGACTGGGTTTGAATTTAAAGGTAAAAATAATTTAAGACATCACAACTCTTCTGCAATTTGTTTTYTTGAAAATACTTTTCATCTCTCCTACCTATATAGTGTAATAGAATACCTGCCTGCTTTTCCCAAAAAAAATATTTAAGAGAAGTTTTATTTTCCATATAACAGTATATGCTTCTGTAATATTTCTGAAAAAAGCCTATCCTTTTGCACTGAATATTTTTGAAAATTTTGAAGTAGTTTTAAATAATTTATGAAAAAGAGCCATATTCTGTTTTAKCTTTAAAACCATTACAAAAATTGCATGATTGCATCACTCATTTGTTACAAAATATRAATGGTTAGTGAATCAAAATCTAATGTGGAGCATTAAATAACATGAGTAATTCTCCATCTACTCTGCAGTATAAAAAGAACAGGAGAGGTCACTTCACAGTCAAAATAAAAGTCAATTTATTGCAAACACTGAACATAACTGTGCAGTCACTGGGCCAGTCCCTAAGAACTGCTGAACATCTGTAACTCCCACTAACATGAGTGGCAACTCTGAATGCTCAGCATTTCWGAGGCTGAAAGCAAATGAAAAGCACCAAGAATCATAGACTTAAAGTGCTTTGTTTGAGTTAATAAATAGGAAAATGTATTTATTTTTAAACCAAATGCAGTTAGTTGTCAGTATAAAATTTTTTGTTGTGATAGAATAAATGTTTACRAAGCACAAATATCATGGCAGAGTTGTAACAGTGTGATGCAGTTTCTCTGTACAGTAGTTCTTARTGTTGCAATTTATTCAGAAATAAATTTATGTTATAATGTGTGTCCTTTCTTCCTTCCTAAATAGTTCATGAATAAGCTATGGACTTTTTGACCTATTAAATATTTGCCTGCCATCCCTGAAGCTTCTCAAACTCTGTTCTCAATGACAAATCTGATCCATGGCTGTAACCCAAACAAGTCACAGCAAGGTCCAGGTCTCAGCTCAGTGCCAAAGCTACTCAGGTTCCACAATTCATTCAGGAGATAAAAGGCTAATCATACCATTCTTAGTATCACAATAAAATAAAGAGAAATGATACATTGATTACCCAACTCCCAGCATACAAATCCTATTAGTGCTCGCTTTAGCTGCTTTTAGTACCTGCCCAAGGGAGCGGGAGGGTGGGGAGACAGAAGTTCAGGAGTTTGCTTGTGTCAGTTTACACAGGCCCTTACTGCCTAAACACCACAGGTGTTTCAGCTGCTACACAGAAAAGGAAACCACCACTCTGCTGACTAAATCAGAACAGGACTTGCCCACTAGTAACTTTTTTCAGGTGTTTTTTTGTTTTTTTTTTTTTAGAAATGGGTATTAAATACACATAAATGAGAACATACTACATACAGCCTTAGGTACAAATGTCCACCAACATGAGCATGATGCAGGTTTTTAACAACATGGGGGGTGGTTGCTTGCTGTCTTTCCCAATGAAAACTAGGATACATCAAATTAATTTCATGCGAGCCAGATTCAAAGTCAACAAAAAGAGATGAGAAGTTATCAAAAGAGAGGATGCAAGAGCTGTGCACAGGTTCAAGTGGGAGCTGGGAAAGTTCTTGAAGGAGCTGTCCAGGGAGATGCCCTGACCATCAGAGGACACCCACAGGAGCAGCAGCCACAGCTGCAGTGCTCCCCTTCCTGAASGTGGCTTCAGGGGAAGGTTCACTGCCACCCCAGGGTGACCCACATCATGAAGAGCAAAATTTGGCCTGTATCTATTTGGCCTGATCTGCTATTCTTCCAAAAGCATTCTACTGTGTTTGTATTAGGTATTTCAAAACTTTGGGTTTAGTTTTATTGTGTTTAGGGTTCTTTTAATATTGAGATTATTACAAGTTAAAAAAACTATAATGACTTCAAATAAATTAACCATTTTATTGTTGTCTGTGATAAAGTCACCTGTTAAATTCAGTAGATAACTTTTCTGAAGAAGCCAGTTTTTACTGTTTGTCTTGCCCTGTTTCATGTAGAGCTGCATTGCAGACAAGTACAGAAATGTCACCAGGAACACTGCACTCTACATTTCAAAATGTCTGAGGGGAAAAAAAAAACACCAGTTCATTGAAATAAAGAGCCCACACGACCTACTTCAATAAAACTAATTGCAACTCAGAAGGAAAGCACATCCATACTAGCCAATTTAAGAGTTTGAGTCAGAGCCATTCCTAAGCCTTTGCCACATACAAACCTATAATGCCACTATTTCAGTTTTTCCAACCTACTCTGAACTCAGTCATCACAAGGAACAGGCCCTCAGAAGGCARCCTGCAGCTGTGCAGCATTTAGCAGGACAGACAGTTAGATTAGACAGCTGGAGTATCAAACTAATTAAAACAATTTGCAGTGAAGACAGGTCTGGCTGATGGGTACTGCATCCTCCTCCCAGCTTCAACTGAGAAACAGGCAGTAAAGTGCAGCAAACTGGAAAAATAGAAGCAGGATATATTTCCAAATCCTTTCGCTAACTACCAGGAAATGCAAGTGATCCCACTGATGGAGACAAAAAAAGAAATTCACACAAAATGCCACTTTTAAAACATGAGTGGGTGTGAGTATTACTGTCATCACCTATTCAAAAAGAATTTGAATCTCGTGACATGTGACATGTCACGAGTCCAAGTACACATCGTGTGCTTACATGGAATTCCCCATCCTTGTGAAGTGTATGTTCCTTCCTCGAGCAGTTACATGATACAAACTTCTTTCCCAGAAAAACAAAATTGTATATTCACAGAAGTTTTTCCTGAAAGGATTTCAAAGATCTAAAGGACAGAAAGAATAAAGCAAATATGATTTTTACAGTGAAAAGCCCTATTAAAGCACATCATGGGGCTCCTGAAGTAATCCTTTTCAATAAGGTYACAGGGAGCCAAGTTTGTCAGCATTTCAGGGTAATGTTGAAAGCCACAGCTCAGTCCAAACACATAGTGAATAAAGTAGTACTTGGAGAGTGTAAAGTATGTAGATTTAAAAAGTACCAAGTAATAGGATAAGAACGTACACATTCACCATTTTGGTTAAAGGACTAAAGTGGAATCAGAGAAGGGGATAAAACTGCTGCCAGACACACAGAATGGTTCCAGGAAGATACATTTATGCAATGCATTCCTAATGTATATCTTTATAATCTATTAAAGCTACATATGGGTAAACCAAGGTGCAGAGAACCTAGCATCAAAGCATTCGTAGAGACTGTCTAGAGTACTACTGAAGCTCTTTCAAGGTGCCAAGCCAACACCTTTCCAGCAGTGCTGTGAATCATACCAGATGTGAAAACATGTCACATTTGAGCAGGAAACTTGGATAACAGCCTGAAAAGCAGYTCTACATACTCAGGAAACTACAAATAATCAGAAATAGAACCCAGATGACCTCCCAGTCCAATGCTGACTGTATRAAACCTCAACTCATAATTTCTTGCAAATATATGACAAGAGCTCAAAGCCAAAAGCTATTACAGATGTTTGATTCACCAGCTTAGTATCAGAAAAATATCATAAAGGAAAGGCAAYAGGAAGAAAACCAACCTAAAAGATTAAAAGGGGAAAAAAGTCTAGTTCCTAATCACAGTCCAAAGATTATATTTTACTGTGCGATAGTTACACAGCAAGTCAAATTTCAGGTTTTAACTATGTAGCAGTAATTGTATACACCTCATTATAGTAATTTTCCTCCATTTTTGTCAGCTGGAAATCCCCCAGATCACAGGTGYACATCAATCTGGGGACACTGGGCAATTCTAAACCAACCCAGAAGAGCTTTGGCCTTCCTACCTCTTTCAATTCCAACTTACTAAGATATGTCTTTGACATCAGAAGGTTTTGCACAAAARCCCAGTAAGCACCACAAGCTTACARTAACTTCAGTGTCAGCCACKTTGCCTACTAGTGAAAGTTTCATTTTAAATGATCCACAACTCTGCTTACTTTTCCCACAACACTACTTGAAATAATCAGGAAATCTGCCAAGTGATGACAGGCACTTTGTTTCTTCATTTACACACAAGGATGCTGGCAAGCACTCCGAGGTAGTCACAACACATCAGCATTAGTAACTTCCTACTAAATTTAACAACACTTAAAAGTTGAGTCCACAACCACCCAGTCGAGTCCACAACCACCCACAAACACAAAATAACTTCATTCTCTGTACCTTTCCTTTGCTTCTTCGACCTTCTTCCAAGCTGGCTGAAGAGACCATTCAGTTCTGCTCCTTCACTAAGCCTGCCAAGAGCAACTGCACTTCCAGGTGCTCTGTTGGGACGTGGAGTGAGCTCTGCACAGGTGAAAGCTATTGGCAGTTGCTGGGAGAGGTAAGCCTGGCTAAAAGCTCATTGGATGCTGGTAAATAACTTGCAGGAGTTTCTCATTTACTTCTCAGTTTATGTCATGATCCTTGGTTTCCAATCTTTGGTAAGCAGTTTCTTTATGCTGGACTTAGTCTCTGGGCCAGGATTCTAAGTTGAAGTCACTACTGATACTAATTTTTTTTTTTTTAACCTCAGTTCAAAATAGGAGAATGAGGACTGAGCAGAAAGGAATGGATTGAATAGAAAGGTGTGGGCAAGTATGAGAGGGGAGTTTAATTACAGCATGCATGCAATAGTTAATATCAAAGCAGCTCATAAATGGCTGCTGGTTTTCTCCAGCAATATGAATGGAACATTATACTACAAAAAGCAAAACTGTCAATTTAATTCAATATTTTATTATACATACAAAAAAATATTAATACAAAAGTACTCAAAGCAAGTGCATACCAACACTCCTTTCATAACTGAGATTACTATAATGCTTTATTTTTTTATATTAAAAAGGTTACAAGTTAAAAACAGCACATAAAGAAATTGAGCCATCCTATGTGTTCATTCTCACTAATCATCATTTCTCTCAGGTGACTGAGATAACAGACCAGACTCTTCTCTGTACTCAGTGAAGAAGCAACATGCMCAAATTGAAATACAAGAAACTTCAATTTAAATATAAGAAAGAAAAAAAAAACCTGCCTTTTTCCATTACTATGCAAGTAATCAAATACTAAGCAGGTTGTGTAGAGAAACTGTGGAGTTTCTATCCTTTGAGAGAGTCAAAACCATGTCACTTGCATGACAGGGTGCTGAGCAGGGCAGGGTGTTGTACTGGAAGACTTCCAGTGGTCTTTTCCACCTTYTGCAATTCTGTGATTCCGTATCTAAGCCAAACCTAGAGAACTGTTCTACTTCAGCAGAAAGTGAACAAAGAGAAGGAAAGAAAACAGATCTGAAAGGCTGAATTTATTGACTAAACTCACAAAGTAGGCAGGCATATACCAAACTGGATYCTTCCTTTTCTTCAGTCAGTGCCAGATTCTACAGGAGTTATCCTTGCTCCCTAGTAATAAACACACAATTGTGAAAGAAGCATTCAGCTGTATCACAGTCTGTCCTTTTTTTTAATACCTACAACAACAAGGCACTCAAAAGACARATAAATATTTTTTTGCTAATAACTAGCAACAGGCAGTAGGATCTAGAGCAATACTTTTAGCTGACATCCTCCTGCATCCCTTGACTTTCTGTCTGAAATGAGGGAAACTTTAGGACCAAATACACAAAAGATATGYTCCCATTTAAAAACCTTTGCCTTTTGCTCATGCACACCTCCCTCATGGCAATGCATTATGAGAATGCAGGCTTAGTCACTGTGCTGGTGCTGGTATGTGCCCACTGGAGAGATGGGAGGATATGCCCATATTATCTTAAACCTCTATTCCAAAGTAAATTTCTAGATTTTCTTGACTATATTGTAAGTCACTGCTGGTACCTGCATATGGCCGCAGGAAAGTTTTTAGACTATTTTTTTTACAAGATTTCAGATGTCTCTCAAAAAAAAGGACAAGAAAAATTGAATATATAAGTTACCTGTAATGATTATATCACCTTCGTAGTTGAAAGCACAGGAGAAGATCTCATCAGCATGACCCTCTAATATCTGAAGGCARTGTCCAGTAGCAGCATCCCATAGTCGAGCTGTTTTATCAGAACTGGCTGTTAGTATGCAATTGCCTTTCGGGTTGAAACACACCTTTAAAATACAGAAATGAGTTATGTTACTTAGCAAATCAGTCTGCCCAGAGAAGGAAGCACATCAAGTGATTGAAAGATGAAAAGAGAAACTAGCAACTTTTGCATTCAGTTTTTCATCTTAAATCAAGGATAGTGTTCCACTAGAGCTCATGCTGGCAAATTTCTGTGGCTGAAAACTTTGAGTATTTACAAAAGCCTGTACACCATGACCTTAGGATCCTAACTTCCAAATATCAAACCTCAAAATCGCAATTGGTAGCAAATGTAGCAACTTTATTGAAATGTCATCATTACTCCAATATAAAATTTATACATATTTTATAGATTTTTACATGGAGGGATGGACTTAAGTAGCTGCCACCATTCTAAGGAATCAAATGGTAAAATGACATGATAATACAGACAGGTGGCTCTTAGAATCTAYAGGAGTACCACATCTAGTATCATCTTAGCTCAGAAGTGGGGAATTSCTGAACAATCATTGTCTGATAGCTTTTAACCAAAAGGAATATGCTTTTAGTAAAGATAACTTCTTWGCCAAGCCTATCAATCCTAAATATTAATTATTATACCACTACATTCTTTAACAGTATTCTTGTGTGATGGAATAGCTGGTGGATTGAATGTCACAGATAGCCAAATAAAAAAAGGTGCAAACTACACATAACTTACCTTTGAAATTTCATCTTCATGCCCTTCTAGCTTTGCAACACACTGYTTTGTTTTTGCATTATAGACTCTTGCTGTCCCTGTTACAGTAGGAACCATATGTGATTGTTATGCTTAAGCATGCATTTCAGTAAGAACATTTCAAAAAGGTCAGTAGGAACTCATGCTCAGGTTTAATTTCAAGAAAAATGGAAGGCAATCTTCACAGAGTTTCCTCCAAGGGTAAAGTATGCTAACAAGAATCTGTAATCTTCTTGAAAAAGRCAGACTTCCTTTCCTGACCAGAAATGTTTTCTCCTGGAAAATTTCTAAAATGTGAGTACAAAGGTCCACATAGAACACAGACTACTGAAGCCTCTAATTTCAGAATGCATGTACAATATATTCAGAAATCTTTCATTATATTTCAGATTCTAATTTTAATAATATATTCAATATATTTAATAGGCATTGATTAAATTTCAGGAAACTGAAACATTGCCTTTTGTCTTAGTATAGCAAGTACAGGAAAATAGATCCAATAGTCCCTCCCATCCAGTCTATTATCCTGTTCTGGAATTGGGTATCTAAAACTAATATGGTATTATCATTATGCAGYATAATATAAATAACTGAGCAAGTGACTACAAAGAACTATTTCTTGTGAATCCTGGAAAAATAATAAACATGCAAAACTTCTGCATACCAATAACAAAACAAAATYGCTTCTTTCACTACCTCTTTATTGTGTATTCTCTTGCTGTGCATTAGGAAAGCCTGCCAGCAAATCCACAGTAAAATTCCAACTACATTTTTCATTTAAGCCTAAATCTGAGCCACCAATCAAACCCCTCAAAAGCTATTTACCTACACATTTAAAAGGTATTTCCAGCCACAAGTGGATTATTTCCTTGCAAGTTTGRAGTCAAAGAGGAAAGACATGTTGAGTTGATTAAAGTATGAAAATACCCTTTTCACTGGAGAAAACTTTTAAAAGTTTAATGCAAAGTTTCTGTAACACAACCAACATTGCTTGATCTATAGTTTTGAATCAAGTAGTCCTCTTCATCAAGCTACACATTCAAAGCAGAGCCAAAGGGAAAGGACAAAGGTGTTTTATGGTCCAGCTRCAGTTCTCCCAGCAGTGCCAGGCCCTTCACTCACCATCAGCAGAGGCAGTTGCAAAGTGCCGTCCCGTGTAATCGAAGCACACATCRAACACCTCCTCCCTGTGATCTGCCAGCGTTGCTATGTGCGTCCCAGTCACAGCATTCCACAGCTGCAGAGAGAAACAGGGCATTTGATTGCTTCTTTTGACTAATTTACTTTATAGATATCTAGTTGATTAATAAAGCAACATGTAGAGGCCCTTTCTGATTGATATCTGACATGTAAAAATACAAAACCTGAATATACATCAATAATGAGTCACTCTTTAGATTAATGAAGTCCTATACATTTTTAGTTCAGTGTATTGATTAAACAAGACTTAATTAGACTGCACTGAAATGAGTAAGATTACAGGTTTTACATTTAGTTGTAAATTCTCTAATTCATTATATGTATCAGTTTAAAATAATGCTTCTAAATTTAAAAAAGATACATTTTATGTCAAGTAGCTGTAGTCATTACCTACTCAACCTGCTTACCATGCATGTTTTGTCCATTGATCCAGTGACAATGAGAGAACCGTCCCAGCTGAACTGGGCACTGCTAATCTCTCCTTGGTGGCCTATTAAAGTATGTAACATCCTATCAAAAGAAAATAAAAAATAATCACTTACATTTATAGTGTGAATTTTTATATGCACATATAAATTRCAAGGTTAGAAAATGGTATAGTTAAGGTGTCAAGTCTCCACCATTAAAGCAATGAAATGGAGAGGTGCAGCTCATTTAGGATTCTAGTACTACATCAATYTCATTTTCTATCTTTGGCAAAAAGAGGCAGTAAGAAATGAAATGGAAAATTCCTCCCTTCTCTTTCAAAAATACTTTAGTGAATGTATTTCCAGTGAAATGCAAGGGTTTTCAASACCAGAGACAGATTCCTTGTATTCATCTAATGCTAAGTACATACAGTAAGTTTTTCTACATTACTCTCCCATTATCCTACTTCAATGAACTGTAAACAGTACATCTTTAAAACTCCATATAATCTAAACCTTTTATAAAATCCAGTGAAGATCAAATGGAAGTTAATCAKGTACTTAAGGCGAGCATGTTCCCAAATAACAGGCAAATGACAACCCAACTGAAATATGATTTCTAATCCCCATTAATCCTGAACTTCTTGCTGCACAAGACTGGCAATGCAAGTCCCATTAAATTATTCAGCTTTATCTGAATATAGAGGTTACAATTAGCCAATACAGCTTCCTAAGAATTAATGGCCTATGAGGCAGCAAAGCCTCAAAAAGATTAATTGAGATATACATGTATTAAAGGATTAGTAAATTGAGTTATTATCACAATGCTAATATCACTGCATCATTAAGAGAAGCACATTGCAAATAACACATAAACTAATGACTAGAAAAACATCTAAATGAGTTTAAGTGACTGAAATGTTTTTTTGTTCATTGCATGAGATATGTAAGGGTAGCTCAAGTAATATATGTGCTAAATGAACAGCAAAGAAAATCTCCTGAGCATTTGAATGTTCTATTTGTTAATGATAGCACAAACTGTTTATGATTGCATTCACAGCATTTTATAGAATTAGTCCTTTTACTTTCTAACACTGTGAGGTCTACACTGTTGTAGTTGTATAGATTTTTTTACAGTAAAACCAAAAATCTACAAGCAGATAACAGAGAAAAACTAAATTTTATACATATATTATTTGGCCATGACATAATACCTAATGCCCAAAAAACCTAGTAATAACTAGAAAAAAAGTTTTAATTTAAAACCTGAAAGCTTAAACTTCCAATTTTCAAAGAGGCAGTGTGGGCTTCAAGCTTTGATGTAAAAATCTTATCAATTAATGGAATAAACAGCAATGTGGAGAACATCTCACAGAAACCATTTACAGTTAGATAACCAGATACAGTTAGAAAGAACAAAGAAGAGAAGCTTATGAAGTGCCATGAAAAAATTCTATGTAAGTTATTTATTAAAAACAATCAGCTTTAGTTATGACAGTATTYCCTTAGCCTTCAGTTTCCAAGTGGAATTTGGTATATGGATGCTGTAGTATTTAACCATAATTGCAAATGAGAAATTATTTCTCTGTCAGGACCCTGGTGCCCAGCACTCCTGACCCCAGTACAGGTTGTTGATTTGCCAAATGGAGCTCTGCAGACACCTTCAGCTGAACTACAATTACTGTATCTGCCATGGAAATACAGACCTGTATTACAAAAGCATGTTTCCCCCTTCATTTTTTTTTCTTTTTAATCATGTTACTTTATGAAGAAAGTCTTGAACATTGTTCAGATTTCTTGTCCCTACATCAGCTTCCCTCAGGGCAATTCAGAGTACCTACCCAGAATAAAATTCAGGAATACATATGATCACCAGGGTCAGCCAGCAAAATGAGAAGAAACTCAAATTTGGAAAGCTATGCTTCTCATGTATTTCATATGGTGAAAAACAAGCATACAAAACCACACCTAGAAGATTTTTGCAAATCTACCTGAACTGTATTCCACTTGCTGGTGTTGGCCCTAATGTGAAGGCTGTATTGATTTCTTAGAAAAAAGAATGCAACATGAAAATCACCAGATTTGATTTCACTGTAGGCTCAGACAATAAGCTGGAAAAAAAGTTGTTTTCAAACAAAAATGCTTGCAAGACCACCAGACTGAAGGAAGTTGRATCCAAAGGYCCATTTGCTGAATGAGTGTTGGTGYTGAAYAAGCTCAAAGCTAATAGGACCAAGCCTTAAATTAYRTAYTGTGTGTACGYTACTTATAAATAACTCAGGTAGTCCCATTTTGATACATATTGTTTATTACCCCACTACACACACACTTTCCTTTTATATATAAATTTCAGAGAGATTCCCCTTGCTCTCACAAAAGGAAGATGCTACCTCTATAGTGTCTTCTTGTCTGTAAACACAAGAGAATTGTTACCTTCATAAATTACTTTGTCAGTAATCAGAGTGATAAATTTATTATTCTACTTACACTGAGTATCCCATTGAAAAAGGGGCTTTGTCAGTACCATATAAAATCATATTTAGCTCCTACATTCTTATTTGTTGACATCTTAATCAAGAGATTTTGTYCTCCACAGTCAAAGAGAATACATTTTAAATTTATACTGACAAAGGATTGTGAGAAAGAAAAATACACCTTTTATAGTTTTTGAAGGCAACATAACCAGGCTAATTCTCTCGTACAAAATCRACATTCTTTCTACTTAAACAGTCTAAAAATCCTAGACACATTGCAGGTCATGAGTTTTCATGCTGATAAAATATTTTCCTGTTTGGAGACTTCACCAGGAACAAGCACAGGATCTGTCCATTCTTTCTGCCTCTTTAGTGCTCAAAAGATAGAAACTTAAAGAGCAAATACAAAAGTATTTAATGAGCAGCATTCCTATTCAGAAGAATGAAGAGAGCAGGAGTAACAAATTACAGGATGGGGGAACATATACTCTAAGTGAAGTAAAAGCTTTATAATGTGTAGCTCAACATTTTCTATTTAATTCATCCTAAATCATGCAAAGTAAAATTATATTTATTAGTGCCTTAGTACCTGCCAGTGACAACATCCCATACTATTGCTATCTGGTCAAAGGAGCCAGTGATGATCCTGTCTCCAGTGGTATTGAAAGACATTGTAATAATTTCTGCTGAGTGTCCCTGAGAGAATTTTTAAAAAGCAGTATGAGAATACAAAYTATGACTTTTCCATTAATATAGTTTAATATGTAGTCTGTTTTCAGCAGCATAATCCTTTCACAACTCATCACTATTTTATTTACTGTCTTGTCCAGAATATGACAATTTTGACAGAAAGATCCACCCAACTGTGGAATAGTCAACATCCCAACAACTGAAAAAACTCAGGTACACCACTTAAGCAGGAAGCTTATTCACTAGATATTATTCTGGATTTATGTGAGAGAAATGTATTGAAACMGCAGAGGCCAATCTGAACCTGTGCAATGCCAGCAAGCCATGCAGAGCAAAGGTAATTGGATGGCTGCCCTCTGCTCATGTTTAGAGGAAGATCCATACAGAGGAGGTCACAACTGACAGTAGAGCAGCAGGATTTAACAAGTGATGGAAGGCATTCTAATCCATAGCAGTAATATCAGTGGAATGAGAAAAATCTGTCTTTTGATAAATTTGACTTATAGAATACCACAGCTTTCTCATTMCCTTCAAGTTTTCTTATTCTAACTCAGTCACTATGGGAGGACCTGGTAAAAGAAACTCCTCGAGGTTTGAAACAGTTCTAATGGTTACGCTGTTATTTATCTCAGCTGGAAAACTATGAAAGCATGGAACACCTTCAAAAGCACAAAGAATGCAAACATACACTTAAAGTGGCTACTTCTTCCCCTTTCTCTATGTCCCATAATTTGACAGTGGTATCCATGCTGCCAGTTGCCACCAACGTGCTCTGAGGGTTAAATGATAAACATACCTGTAGCAAGAAACATTGGATAGAAAAAGTTTAAAGGTGTCTATTTACATATATTTTCTAAAAAAAAATAAAACAAGGTTAAGGATTAATATTTTAAAATATGACAAAAGTCTGATAATACTTTATGGCACACATAAAAGTTGCAGAGTTCTTCCAACAGCTCACTAGAACAGAAACAAGTCCTTATCACATAACCCTTCTTCTWCTTATTTTGTTTTCTTAATTTCAAATTTCTCTTTGAAACTCTCAAATTACTTTTCAGTTGAACGGACATTCCTCCCCAGCACTATCATTTGGTAGGGTTCCTCTCTTACCTGATGACATTGGGGCAAAGATCATCCAAACAGTTCCATGTACCCACAAACACCTTTATCCTATCATGTGTCATTATCTATGTCATTTGCCAAGTGCATCACCACAACATCATAGTCATGGAAAAACAAGAACAAAAGCTCAACAACTACTTTCATTCATTTTCCACATTAAAAAATCATGTAGTCAGCCTCCCATTCTCCATAATCATTCAGTATGATTGCTCTGCAAATAAAGAATAGGAGGTGCCATGAAAAAAAGGAAAACAGTAGCTCAGTTTTTTCATACTGAATAACTATGGGCATGCCCTTGCCAGCAATGGATCAGATCCAATAATGGCCTTTCAGAAACAGGTCTGACTCAGAGAAACACATCATTTTCTGCTGGCAATTATCTGCTACTAATTACTTGCTAGCCCAACTCATAACATTCTGGTCTAATCTAATTCCTACAGAAGACAGAAAAAAATGGAGAGGCCTTTAAAMATTTACCTGACTGATCTGTGGAAGCAAAATTACTGCAGCCTTTCCCAATAAGCAAATACTTTCTCCATGGTAAGAGGTAATTCTTTCAGAGTACCCAGAGAATCAAAACCATACCAAAACAAACCCCAACTTCCAATATGGGTAAACCATCATTTTCTTGCTCTAGTGAAGGCCTCTTGATCTACAATTAAATTCCTTTTTTTTTTTTCAGAAACAACTTCCAGCAATATTTTATTAAATAGGGATTGTATAGCTATAAAAAAAATCCCAAAAAACCCACTCAGCATTGAAATTCAGAGTTTTAGGGTCTTTGCCCTGACCTTTTAATCAAAATGCTGTGCATTAAGGTACTTTCTGTTGCTGATGCGAGGTCCTAGTGCATTGGAGAGGAAACTAAGCATTTTTAAGCTTAAACTGTTTCAATTTCATAGATTCTTGACATTTCAGCATCCCACATATTCCCAGTAAACACACTTTAAATTTCATAAATTCATTGAATTGCAGCTCCAGTTGGTTCTGTACATGAAGTACAGATCTCTGTGTGAAAGACAACAATACAAGCAATGATATTCCTCTATATATAGTTCTGCAAATAGGAGGGCAATGTAAGATAGCCAGAAAAATGTACAATACATAATCAAGCAATAAGTAAGTACAATAAAAAATTCCAATCACTATGGTATTTTTCAATGTTTTAACATTTAGCAAACAAGGGAAATTGGAAAAAAGTAAAATTAAATCTATAATTTCAAACTGTCTATGATRGTTTATTCTGTCTTAAGAACTGTCAGACTATCTTCCCTTGCAGTGCAGAAATGTTAATATCTGGATGTATGAATAGATGTACCACAATAACTGTGCTTGTCAGTGGGAGCTCACAGGGAGCTGTAACTCACAGTCATCAACAACAGTGTGAGAAAACATAAAGGAATAAGAAGCATCCATCACTACTCACTATTTCTGCAATATGTCCTCTGAGAGTATGATAACATTCTCCTGTTTCTGTACTCCACAGTTTGCAGGTTCTATCAAATGATCCAGTGGCAATCTTGTCGCTAAATGGAAAAAAAAATCCTGTCATTTTTATTTAGAAAAAGCTCTGACTCCAGAGACAGCAGAATCCAGAGAAACAATTCCCAGCCATGGAAGCTCACATGCCACTTTGGTGCTCGCTGTGAGATCCTGCAGCGAGATTTCACAAACACAAGTTACATCAAGGCAAAAAATTAGCAGACACAATGAGTTTCTAAGAGAGTTACTGTGCCTGTCTATTAGCATAGAAGTACTCATAGCTGATGACTAACCTACTTTAGTGGTGATGTTGTGCTGCACTACTTCCAGATTTATCAAGAAGTTATATMATTTCATCAGATAACATCTGTTTATCAACAATTATAAATGCAGTTCACCCAAATTTCRGAAGTTGAACTCTACACCCACTGAAGTCAGTGGAAGTGACAATCTGCAATTAAAGCAAAACTACAGTGAAGTATCCAGAAAAATGTATCAAGGAACACTGTATTAAAACCTGAAGATTAGCAGAAAAAAAAGTGGGTTTTTCAATCAAATTTTTAAYGTCAAAGTAGTTCAAGGTTCTCATCAGGTTTTGTCTCGCTGTATGCTGCTYCTCCAKTTTTATGTTACAGACTAGTTAYTGATCTTTGCACAGATTTTTGTCAYTAGTTTCACCAAGGTATATAAATTAACTTCATCAAATGTTATTCTAAAGCAAAGAATAATATCACAATATAAGACACTGACATAGGAGGGTCTAGGTTTTCCTTTTCATAGAGAWGAAAGAAATAAAGTTTCAAATAGAGTAAGAACAAATAATTTAACATTTATTTTCTGATATTAACTATGTATTGCTTAACTGACAAATAGGACACCTGATAGTAACATGATTCAACAGAAAACTAGGAATTAATTTATTCTACTTCACAGAAAAACAAAACTGTTTTCTCACATGACAGCTTCCTCAAGAAGCAAACTATATTGAAACTTCAGTAGCTAACATGTAATTCCCTTTACCTAACAGGTGGCAATTCCAAYCCAGGGCAAACAGTTACTGAAGAAAACAAAAGGTGCAAAAATTCATATCTGATGTTCACACAGCAGCACCTTGTGGATTTTACAAAAATTACTCAGAAGCTGTGACATTTCCAAATCTAAATAATAGATTTGTAATGGCAAATGGAGAAATCCACTTCTTTCTCCTTAACAGAAGTAACACAGATTGTCATAAGTACTTACATCATACATCACATACAACTATATGGAGGCAGAAGAGAATGAGTAACATTCAGAATAAAATCTGGTCATCTAGTTATTACTGAAATAAACTGTTTCAATATAGTCAACAGACTCATTTATATATTTTTCAAGACTGAATACCTAATTAAATTTGTGGTTAGAACTTCTACATTTTATTTTTAAAAATTGTAGAGAAAACATGTCCAAATGGATCTCTTGTACAAATGACAGTGTCATTCCACAGCAATCAGCTATGGCTGAACTCTACAAATTCAGAAGTTGAATTCTTTCAATTTGAAATAGTCTATTCCATGTTAGAGTATTTTCAAAATAAAATTATTATCAATTAAGAAGAATCTCAAAGGAAATTTATTTACCCATAGGGATTATTGAAAGCTATTGCATAGACAACATTTTTGTGTCCCTCCAGTGTACGCAGCTCTTCTCCCGATGCTGTATCCCATAGTTTGCAGGTTCTGTCATAGCTTCCAGTGATAAAGCTAAAGCAAAGACAAATTAATTTTTAATACAGAAAATATCTTATTGGTCCCAATGCATAGCCAAATKATTTATTTCCACAGATTTCAGTTAGCATTGTCTCAGACATAAATCTCCTAGTTTTTTCAGAAATATAGATTAATGACCATAGAGGTTCCATTTCTTCTTTTTTTTACRTATTATTCACAAAACCACCTTTTTTTCTAATCTTTAATGTATTTTAACTAGAAAGCATGTCGCTGCTTTCAAGATATGAAGAAAAAAAATGATAAAACATATGTCTACAGYGAAATCAATTAACATGAAAGCTACACTTCCATTATAGTGAAACACCCAAAGGAGTTTATGTCAAAGACTCATTCAGATTTTAGCAATATTTAGTTTATTGCCCTAAAGATGCTTCTTTATGTAATATGGTAATTGTCAACAGACTATGGCAGTGGAAGAAAAAAATTACATAAATTGAATCTCACCTGCCACTTTTTTGCATCTTCCATTGGTTTTCCCACAGAGGCCTGAAATATARTCCCCGATTATGCCTGAAGCTGCTYAGAAGCAGCAGAGCTGAATTCTTTTCACAGCAAGATAAGAGYACTGAAGTTTCCTTACCATTTAATTCACAAATACAAAACTTCAATTAATGATTATGTACTTTGACTTTGAAAGCAACTTACCGGGAACCAGATTTGTTAAATGCTACATTMGTCAGTGGCAGTATGTGTGTTCTAAGCGCCTGAAATAGAAGTGGGGGCAGTGAGAAGAAAAACATTTGATGCTAACAAAATAAACAAAATTGCWGAAAATAATCAACAAATTAATGTTTTCTCCTCCTCCTATTAAAGGAGGAGAAATCCCACATTATCACAGAAGATATTATACAGTATTGACTTCAATTTTATATTTTACTTGAATGAACTGGTTTTTCCCCCATGTTTGCATATTGTTCATTCTTTCTGAGACCAGCAAAGTAACCCTAGACCAGAGCTGAATGGGCAAAACAAATGAGTAGACCATGGCCACTGAGATCACTGATGACACAAATCCCAACTAATATTAAGCCCTATCCAGCAAATCAAAAATCCAGTTGAACTGAGTATTTGAGATTTTCAGGGTATGGGATGCTTCCAGCTGGCATGTGACTTTGTTATACCAAACAGAAAAACAGATATAAACTACAGCTCTGTCCTATGAGGTAATGACAAGGTGCAAAACCATAGAAAGATAAATAGCAAGACAAAATTCCACAAAAGCATTTCAAATGTAATGTCTGCATGTATTGTGTAGGTTAGGGAGGTCACTCTTTTCTAACCATTTTTTAAGGTCCTTTAATCAGACAGTATATGACTCATGTGAATGATCCCATAGCCATAACAATACAAACTCAGCTTTATTAAACATAGGTGATACTTTAAAAAGGACCAGAAAAATATAATCTGGTTGGTGTTTGAATAAACTGGCTGCTGTCACACATGGTTTGCATTTGAATAATTTTCACCTATTACAAGCTGCCCCCTCCTCAAGTCCAAAGCATAATAAAATCATAAACTGGGAAATCAGAGCAGTTGCTGACAATGAAGTAAAGGATGTTAAAAATATACACCAGTGGCTCCCTAGGCCTTTTCTGTAGGGTAAGAATGAAKAAGGAACTATTTATGAGCAATGAGATTTAATCATTGACATATTATCAGAGTTTCAACTTCTTGTTCTTCTCTCAAATTTTCCAAGCTGCTTATCTCCAAATGGAAAATGAGACAGTCTCATGGGTCTTCTACTCAGAAGAGCAGGGACAGATCAAAATGGAAATAACAATTGTCAAGTAAAGGACTGAGACAGAGAAACAGAAAAAGTATTTTGTGTTACAGAAACAGCAATTTCTGTTCTCCAGAGAAAGCAACACAAGTTGTGCTTTCAACTACAGCAGTGGGAATGAACAATCAAGATGTGGAAATGAGAAAAATATTTTGTTTTTTAAAAACAGCAACAATATCCATCTACATATGAGAACCAATAATTATGGAAATTTATGGAAATCAGATCTTTAGGACTCCAAGCAGGCAGCTCTGAACAACAAATACATTTTAAAATTATGAAAAAAGGGAGGAAAACAGGATGGATTTCTGTTTAATTTCAGATTATGAGACTAATTCTGTTCTTCCAATGCCCAGTGCCGCAGTTGCTTCATCCACAGAACTCTGAGCCAGCAAGAATTGYTTCTGCAAATGATACAATAATCAAACCCTAAGGCAATATTAGAAAAATTAYAACTCAGTTCTGCAAAACCAGCTACAGCTATACCTAAGATAAAAACCTGCAAATCACTACAGCATCCCATGCTATGTAATAGTTTAAAACCTGAGAAATTGCTATAAAAGCTCATTTCTCTGCAGGGTGCCTAACACACCACCATCACCACAATTACTGGGAATAACAAAGGGATGAATTTATACACTTGTTTCAGATTTTACTCCAGTGCAACAGGAAAAAAAAAAAACCATTCACTTCCAAACAATGCACACATGGAACAATTTTTGGAGGAAAAAGAAGAAAAAAATCTCACTCCCATCCATCTCTTGTATTTTATTAGTGTGTCAGTAGTACCTGGTACTCGTRTTTCATTTAGAAGCCTTAAATGAAACTCAAACATCAAACAGGTTATTTTCACACACTTCTAACCACTCCTCRGTGAAGGAAATAAGACAGCACTAATTGGATTTGCTGGCCTCTATTATTTCCACATACAGAAGCTCAAACATAGCACTATACCCAACAATGAACAAATCCATTATTTACACACAAGTTTGAACAAGCATTTGAAGGTTTGTCAGTATCTGTGAGGAGCAAGCAATTTTAAAAGCTTTTGAAAAGAAAGGCACTATCTCAGTTGAAAGCATAACTTAGAAGAGAAACTTTTTGAGACGCCTTATTGCACAGCTCTATTTTCAAGGTTAAATACATATATCTGCAGAATTCACCCAGATGAGTATTGTTGGTCAAAAGAACCGAAGTTGTATTGAGGAACATGTAAGAGGTTTTTTAACTGAACAAACCAACACAAAACTTCTTCCTTTTCTCTCTCAATTTAAGGTAACAATAACCACCATAGCACTCACCAAYATTTTTTAACAGTTACACATTGCCATCTGCTGACACAATAAAGGTACTATTTCCAATTGCAACACTCAATCTCTGGAAGAAAGTTTCATTTCCACTATTCAATACAATTACACCTATTCTCTTCTGACAGACTCAATCCTGGATTTGGAGCTCTGAAAGGTCTCTCTAATCATTGTTCTTAAAAATCCTATTTGTTCGAATGCTGTCTGTGAGCTGAAGATCAATTTATCAATATTCAAAGGTAATAGTAATGACAGAAAGTAATGAAACCCAGGATTAGTAATGACAACTGCATGTAGCATAAAACTCCATAAAATAATAGCATAAAGCCCATAATTTTCACAAAGTGAAGAACGGGTAGACAAGGGTATGAAAATATTTCGGTCCTTTCCCAAAGCTAATCTACTTGGGGTCTATTTACAGGTTTTGTTTAAAGGTAACTATGGGTTTTGCTGGCCCACAAATTCTTATTTGACAAATAAAAGATTGAGTTCTCTCCATCCAAAACACACCTGTGTAAAATACACCTGTGTAAACAATGTCAAGGGACAGTTATACCCCTCAGCCTTTTTGGGGGAATTCCTGGCAGAAACAGCCAGGACAGACTCAGTTGCTCTAAAAGTGCAGAGGGGATTGAAAAAAGCCAAGAAATCAGTCATAAAGTCCCAATATCGCCCTCAGGTACAATACACAGCAGTAAAAACATACTTACAATATCACAACTTAAAAGCCCCAAAATGCCCAAAATTATTTAAAGATGTCTCTGACCTTAAAAAGAGTGAATTTGTGATTCTGTTTTTCCCCCAGCTTCTCCTGCAATCTGTGTATTAGATGTATGACATATTCCAAGCAGGAAGCTGTGATGAGAGGTTCTCCTTTTTTAATTTCTTCTACAACGGCTGAGACATCTGTGCTAATTATGAGAAAAGAATGAAAAGAAACTCAAAAAACAGCCCAAACAAAAACCCACCAGACTCTATCCTCTGGCAATAATTATGAATATAAACCCAAGAATATTATTTACTTGCAGAGAAATTTAAGCAAGCAATTAAATGTTATGCATTTATCTCATTCTGTAAAAGGGCCTAAAGAAATRTGGATAAATCTTTCTTGGTTTTTATACCACTTCCTTTCCTCTCTTACTAAAGTTGTACAGTAACCCTTAACTTTTAAAAATTGTAACTTGGCATGAAATCTATCTTTTCAAAGGATTTCCACAGAGGATCAGACACGGGAGATGTGTGTCCCAAACTGTCAGTTTAAATATCTGAATTAAACAGGAATTTCATACATTTCAAACAAATTGTCCATGAAGTAACAAGATAAATTATGTATGCAAAGTGTTAAATTTTTCTCTSTCTGTGGCCTCTGAAATCTGCTCCTGGTTCTGCAGCTCTTAGTTTTGATAGTAACTACCACAACATGGTCCAGTATACTGATGAAACTGGAGCCCCCAGGGAATGGGCCACAGCTGGTCTGTGGAACTGGATCATCTTTCCGTGTCATCAGATAACTACTGATTTCTGGCCTTCTGTGGGAAACTAAGGGTTGCCAATACCTGGGAGGCAAAGCACCAGTACACTCTTAAAATCAGTTTAGCAAAAGAGCMAAGGATTTCTGTTAATATGGAAATTATTCAAGTCTAAAGGGGATTTTCTGCATCCATCCTCTGAAAGGGAACCACTACACTACATTCCATAAATTAGTATCCTCTCAGTGTTTATATATACACCAGACAACTTATTTCTTTCACAAAGGGACTTGTAAGGTTCTACCCACAACACTATATTAGACAGTTCCAGAAAGACAAAACGTGATCATTTTTAGATGAGGATTTTTCCTCTAGCATATCTAGCCTACATTGTCTACYGACTTTGGCTTACATGCAAGGCCTCTTCCATATCAATGCTGGAATTAAGATAATCATATTACTTCATGCCTTTCTACCTAATCAACTCTACGGATTTGGGCAACGTTGTTTAATTGGGGCATTTTGTTATTTTTCTGAAGCTCTACCTCCCAGAGCTACCTGAGAAGAGCATGTAGGCTCTACATAATAGCTGACCTCAATTATGCATAAAATAGTCAAAGAGAATTGTCTACGAGCATGCTATAAAAAGGTAGARAGTGTTGTTACCTGAAATATTATCATACTTACTCAGGTCTAAGATCAAGTAGATCTATTGATCTGGTCCTTGACTTACCACCTTCTACATATTCCAAAATAATTCCTTTAAAAAAAAAAAAAGGATAAACAGGTCATAATTAGACTTCTGGAATTTTATACCATGCACTGCAGACAGCAATACCTCCACTTGTATAGCTCCACTGACTTCARGAGACCTACTTCCAGTTCTTGGAGCTGGAAGGAGGTTGGCTGTTCTCACTGAGAGTAAGCATGGTAATGAACAACTCTGATGTGTTTATATGAAAAAAATATATTAAACAATATTATTTCTGAACTATTTTCTTTTCTGGAAATGAACAAACTCGTTTTTCCAACAACTTTTTGCATCATTTCATCAGCATTCATTTCAAAGAAGCAGTCCTGAAGGTATTTCCTATTAGCTCGATGTTCAAAGAAGCCTGGAAAACACATTTTACAAAACCCATTATATTTATTCTAGTGTTTACAAAGGCTTGAGTGCAGTAATATATCAAAAACCATAACACATTTCACATTTCTAGGTTTGCTCAGGCACCTCTACAACTTCAACTGAGCTGGAGTATTAAAATATTTAACCACATGGCTTCCTGTTTTGAAACAGCAGGTAAAGGGCTCAGCTGCACCTTGATTTTCTGCGGGAAAAGATAATTTAGATGAACTTCTCTGTCATTCTGCATTTTATGAAGYTCATATGAAAAGTATTTAATATGARAGGACTATCTGTTTTTCCAATATACTTCCTGAGCTGGCCATCTCCAGCTTGTTTTACTTCTAAAGTTTGCTTGAGTCACCTGGGTAAAGGATAAACCATCACAGTCTGGCAGCACTTCTTTTCAAAGCATAGCTCTGCTCAGAAAATTCATACATCAAAGACAAAAAAAATTCATATCAGTTCGGCTGGAACAGACCTCCGAGATCAAGTCCAACCCATGACTGAACATCAYCTTATCAAYCAGACCCTGGCACTGAGTGCCATGTCCATCCTTGCTTAAACWCCTTTAAGGACGGTAGCTCCGTCACCTCCCTGGCAGCCCATTCCACTGCCTGATCACCCTTTCTGTGGAGAATTTCATTCTAGTGTCTGACCTAAACCTCCCCTGGTGCACCTTAAGATTATGTCCTCTCACCCTGTCACTGGTTGCCTGGGAGAAGTGACCCTCACCTGACT